GAAAGGCGCTATACAAGCACAGGTTTATTTACCATTACCATTACCACAAGTAAGCAGTAACATTACATTAATGTGTCAACAGTCAGCCATCTTAATAGCCCAAAAAACCTGCATGCGAGAAATCAGTTGGCCTCTATGTGCCTCCAAATGGTTAAATAGCTGAGGGAAAAAAAAGCTCTTAAACCACTGAGTCACATTATACATTCAAAACACAAGACCATCTCACTACCTCTAAGATTGGAGACTAATCCAGATTGCACTCAATCAGCAAACCATGTTACTCAATAGAGCCCAGGACTATATACAGAACTCTTCAATACAAAGCAAATTATAGGAAGTTTTGTCAAACAAATGGAACTACTGACAATGAAGTCAACTTGGGTCAAATGTGGTGTGGTAGATCTTTCACACAAAGGGGCCAACCAAGATGTTGCCACTGAGTTTGAGCAGCAACCACACAAGTAGCCGAATCATTGGGTGCCACTCCCACTAATTTCAAAATGGCTACCACTATAAGCTGAAAAGAAACGCCACAAAACCAATTATGATAAAGTATTAACAACACAAAATGTTTTTGCTAACTTGCACTAAAAGCAGCAACCCACAAGTGACCCAACAAATGCAAAGTGCAGTTACCACAACACAAAGGTCACAAACCACAAGTTACTGTACACAAAATATTTAATCACAGCTACACAAAACAGAAGTAGAGTCATCTCAGGCAAAGACAATGCAAACCAATTTGCTGCACAATGTGCAAAAACTAGGAAATATGCTGCACCCCAACTCCTAACTGTCTACTGAGATGGCTGACTAACCTAGCTAGTCTTCAGTTAGAAGTGACTTTAAATGCTAAACTCATTATCGAAGACCAGAGATATAGCAAACTGCTATACACTGATGCGTGCCCTGACTCAGGATTACCACCAAAAATAAGTAAGGCAAAACAACAAAGTGGCAAGCTCTTCAAATCTGAACAAAGCAGCAACAACTACAAATTATCTAACAAAAGAAATTACTACTTAACTCAAAAACGTAACACTTATAGCTCACCTCACAGATCCTGGACAAGCCCCCAATTGTTACGCCCCATCCATAGGTGGCTCTTTATGTTCCAGCTGTGTGTCATGCCTCTTTTATGCGTCACAGGTACCGAAAACATTACAAAGACTTTCGCAAAGGATACACCTGTGTATCCTTGCTCATACAGACAGACAGAGAGATAAAAAGTATAGAAATAATCTGCTCATAATTCATCTAAATCACTTGTTTGACACAAACTTCCTGTGGTTATTGGGTTCACTGTTTGGGTTCATTGTACAGTATATCAGTTGTTCTCTACTGTTAATTTTATATCTTATCGATCTTAGTCAGGGGTTGTCAGTATGGTCAATGATAAAAAAAGGGGTCCCTTAGGGAAAAGGGTTGGGGACCACTGCCCTAACCCTGTCACCATAGCTGAAGGCTCTGTTGGTCTGTTTCCCCCACAAAAAAAGTTAAACTGAATGTGTGGAAATAGTATAGATTCCAAAATACAGAACAGGGAGATGAGGTGCCTGTGATGCAACAAATATGTGTTTGTTAACAAAATGTAAAATGATTCGGAGTGATTATTTTGGTCAAGATAATCGTGACATGAAATGTTCATATTTTCCCACGCCTAAATCACACTAAGCAAGGTAAAAATATCTTCAGCGTTAAGAC